TATATTGGCAAAAACATTGGATCACTTTTGTATATAAACCTTAGGTATGATTGACTTAGACTTGAATGACCCTGTATGTATAGAACTTGAGTTATTTTCCTTTTGATGTGAGTTATTAACGAATATATGTGAAATGTTATGATGTGCCATGTAAGCACGGCTCTATGGACAAAATTTTAAGTTGCTTCCGTTTGGTCCCTTAACTCTGATGGAGTACATTTTATTTGGTTTGAGGCCGTAGGTAATCTCTTGATTACTGGCTGGTTATGACCTTAATCCATTGGGGCGGGTTTGGGGCGGGTTCGGGTCATGACCGATTGCATTCAAAATTCGCAGATACAAAGGACGACGCATTCAAAAACGTCTCCGAAATGTTGTAGGTGAATAAACTGGATTTGCCGCAAAATAATCCGCAAACAATCGCTCATGACTCTTCCTTCTATCACGACGTATGTACTTATGGCCTACAACCGAACCACCTCTTTTCTTTGATCCATCAGTTGATTGCAGAATCTGAATCATACTAGCGTTATTCATCTCATAAGCCCCCCAAAAGTGTGACCATTTTTTCATCATCAGACTCATCATCCGAGGATGAGGAAGAAGAAGAAGATGAAAATGAAGTGAACATCATGAAATTTAAGATACTCATTATGCTCTACTTTTAATTACGATGCCTTTTTAATATAACGTACCATTTGTCTGGTGTATGGTACATAGATAATATATTTATATCAGATTTTGGAAAGAAATCATTGTTAGAGGCAATCAAAAATAAAAAATATGTAATAGATGAAAAAAAGAAATAAGTAACGAATTGGGAACAAAAAGAAGGAAACAAAAAAATATTTTGAGTTGCCTAGCCTGGTCGACCGCCCGTCGTCCCACCGGATATCCCATTTATTCTGATACACACTAAAGTAGAACGGTTGCAGCTGCTCGTAGGTTGTTGAAAAAATTACCTTTTTCTTACTCAGATTTAGTGAAAATGGCCCGTTGGAAATGCTCTATGAATGTTGATTTGAATAGCCTACAAAATTGAGCAACATTTGGGGGCGAAACCTAAATCTGGCAAACCTAGGGGGCTTCTTGAGGCTTCGCTTGTCTTTGAAGCAAGCCATAGCAGAGGACCAAGACGACTACGACGACCAGTGTAGGCCTTGGCGTCACAGTCTGTCAATGGCTTTCAATTAGGTCTCTTGCCTCAAAATCACTCTTCTCTTCTTCCTTATCGCTGCCATTGCCACGGCTTTCCTCACTCTCCCCGTCGAACAGGTCCTGTTTTCGCATCTGGGTCTGTTCAATTTGTTGTTTTTATCCTGTTGTGATCTGGATTTGCTTTTTTGTGCTTTGAATTTGATGGGTTGTTTGGGGTTGTTTTAATTTACTCTACTCAGATTCTTCTAATTGTTGATTGTTTCATTCTATTGCTCTGGTATTTTGTTTGTTTTAGTATTTAATTTCTTGAGGTTCTCTGTTGTTTGTTTAGTACAAGTATAAATTTGAGCTGTTTTACTTATATACAAAATATACATTGTAGTTATGTGTTAGTTGTAATGGTTTAGTTAGTGGTTAATTTAATTGTTTAGTTAATTGACTGTGACTTTGCACTATTGCTTTGTTTAACTCACATTCATTAGTCTTTTCTCACTTGGTTAAGAAAAATTCTAGGTGCATTTAACTTAATTACAGAACCACTGTTTTGTCCGGCTTTGTGATCAGATTCTGTGCATGTAGAAGAGCCACATGGTTAACCTATTATTTTTTTAGTAGCAAATTCCAACATTCACTTGGAGGATGATGGCCCAATTTGATTAATTTCTTTCTTCTATCTGAAGCCATATTAGGTTTGCTTAACAAGCCATGAACAAATTAACCCAAAGGGAAAAAAATCTATCCAAACTTAATCCTATTGTGAACTCTTAGTTTTGTTATGATCTTCCACATGTGACTAATATATGGACCTAGTTATTTACCTTGTAGCTTGATCTCTGCAATATCTTTCTTTTGTCAATATTTTTAGATAGATAAATTTGCATCTTCCTTCGAAAAAATATTGCCATAGAAGTTGGAACCAGTTCTATGAATTTATCTGGATTGGAAAACTATGTTCATTCTATATACAGATGACTTTATTCAACAAACCAGATTCTAGTCATTGCAATTGTGTTCTTTTTTAAATTTATTTTCTTTACGATACTTCAAAGAGATCCTGTGATGGTGAGACTTACATTTTCCTACAACAACTAAACATGTACAAAAAAGGAAAACAATTTTTATTTTTCTTTCCTCTCCTTTCCTTTCCTGTCAATTGAACACAGAGAAAAAACCCGTTGTGATATTGAAACTTTCTGCTAGTATGCAAGTCTCTACTTACCAATATTTCTTTCCCATCTTTTTAAGTAATTATGCGTAAGAGCTAAGAAATGTGACTGTAAAGTGTTCACAAGACTTTCACCTAATTTTCATTGACTTTATTTTGTCCCCATCTTAATGAAAATGTGTCAATTTAGACATCCTCATAATTCAATGTAATTTACACAAATAAATAAATGAGTTGAATTTGTGAAATTACATGATATTACTAATTTCAAAGTCTTGTAGCATTTATCTACAATTCTCTCTCTTATAATTGAGAGCTCACCCCCTGCGAGATGAAGATTGTTCTATTTTTTTGGTACACTAGGGAGGAGGAGTTGTTGAACCCGTAATCTCATAATAAGATACATGATACACTAGTTTTGGTCACCGGGCTAACTCATTAGTTGTGAGAGGTACATTGTTCATACACTCAATTTAAAACTAATAATTTAATAATCTCAAAGCATATATTTTAATATATAATCAAACTTAAATATCAAAACAGAAAATTCCAACATCTACTTAAAGGATTATGATAGATTAGAGTACCTGCCCTAAATGTAGCAGCAATTTTAACATTATAGGGCTTTGTATCCATGAACCTTTATCTTTTTGAGTTATTTTTTATTTCTGTTGATCTATATTTATGAAAAAATTGCTTCTTGCAGACATTGAAAGACTTCTTACTATGGGTCAAGCAAGATCTTGGGCCTTGGGGTCCACTTGTGCTGTAAGTGAGCTGCAAGTTTTTCATGTTGGGCAATTTATTTATTTATTTACTGACCAGAAAGTTTATTTTCTTTGTGTTCCTGATTGCTTTCCTTAATATAATTGGGGTTTTTTATGGGTGTTGGTAGTTAATTAGGTAGGAATGATGTAGCTATGGTCGTTTGTCCTGGATGTAGCACATTAAAGAGAGTGCCAAAGTTTATGATATGATCTTATTGAAAGTGTGAGGATGATGATTTTGATATGATCTTATTGGAAGTGTTCCACGTTAAAGAGAGTGTGTGAGGATGGCAATTTGAATTTTTTTAACGAAGCTTTGAGAGTGTCTATAAACGAATTCATAAATAATTTTTGTCCTTCACTTATTACATATTCTAACATACTTGGTAGAGATTCTATTGCACATAACATTTTTAGCTCAAAGAGCCATATTGATCCTAGTTTTTAAGATTCAAGTAGGTAGCTCTAGAATGTACAGCAGTGCAGTGTGTCTATGTTCTACACATGCAGTTTGGTTATTCTCTTCTAGGAGTTTTGACTACTGTAGGAGATTTGAAGCCCATCATCGGTCTGTGTTTCAGGAATTGAATCCTAGAATTTTGGACAAATTTGATCTTAACATATCGAAACCACTAATGCAAATTAAGTTGTGTCATGCGTGGGTCAAGTATACACGAGGAAAACCATAGTATTTCATATGTGATATGATCATCAAACATCCAATACTCCGGAATATGACCTGCTTCTTGACTTGTTGGCTACCTAATAAAGGTAAATAAATTAGGCATGAGCAATGGTTTACATAGGCATAACTCTGTTTTTTGGATAATTTTTGTAGTGTTGAACTTCTGTACCTTCTAACTCCTATGTGCTTGGGGAACATTACAGGGGTATGGCATATATTCCTCTAACTGTTCTGGCAGTTCCAGCTTCAATACTAACTGTAAGAACATTTTTTTTTGTTGAGAAAATTACACTATTGGTCGGTCCTTGTACTGTAGTCCTTGTGTCATTTTGGTCTCTAGAATTTCAGTTTGATCAATTTTGACCCTAAACTTTTGATTTTGTCTCAAATTGGTCAAATTGCTTCCAATTGTTAGTATTTTTTTATGGCAAATGCGCACATGAGCGGCACATGACATATTTTTAGGAGAAAAATTGTAAACTTGATCAATTTAGTGTCTTAACATCAAGCGATTCCGTGAAATTTTCTGTCAAAAACTCTATCAACATTATCAATTGAACCAAATTGAAGCAAAATTTAAAATTAAGCCAAACAAAATTGTAAGGACTAAAATGACACAAGCAGCAAAATATAGGGACCTGTGTTTTAAAAAGCTCTAGGCGCATCGAGGCGCCAAGGTCACTTGGAGCCTAAGCGCCGAGGTGCGAGGCGCAAGTTATAGAAGTTGAGCAAAATATTAATATAGCACAATTTTCAATGTAAGCAAATATTTAATATGTATATTATTAACTTTTTTTTCATAAGGGATCCGAGCGGTTTTTTTACGTGTTGGCTGGCGGCTACCTAACACACAACCCTCCTCCTTAACCCAGGCTTGGGACAGGCGGAGTTTGAAGCACGGACACGGACACGGACACGCATATGGACACGGACACGGGACACGGCAATTTCTAAAAAATGGGGACACGGACACGGCAGGGGACACGGCAAATTTTTTAATTTTTTTCATAAATATTTTTATTTTAATACATATTAATTATTTTATTTATTATATTTTTAAATAATGTGTCTCAATTAATTATTTTATTTTATTTTACATAATGTGTTTATTTTTTTTATTACTATGTATAAATATATATTATATTTTATATATTATCTATAAGTATATTATATATTATATAATAGGTATTCTAGGTATTATATAATATTATATATAAATATGAATCAGTTATATTTTATATATTAGCTATAAGTATATTATATTTATATAATAAGGGAAGAAGGTTTTTGAATTTATCTTAGAGACAATTGTCCTACTAGGACATTTGAACGGTTAAGATTCATTTCTGCTTAAAGATGAACGGTAGAGATGATACCCTTCTTTTTCACTCTACCTCAACTTCCCGCCCATCCTGATCTGACTCTTCTCACTTCAAAACACACCCACCCACTCTCTACAGAAGAGAGACCCACCCACCCACTCTTTACAGAAGAGAGATCTACGCTAATCGAACTCTCTCTCTAAAGTCTCTCTCGCTCTCTCATAGCCTTACTTCACACACTCTTCCTTTGCTGCCCAGATCGACTTCACTCTTCATCACCTCAACGATGTGAAGCCACACAGAGAGTTTAAGATGACAAGGAAGTCTTGCTCACCACCTCTCCGCCGCACCGACGCTTGCACTGTCGGATCTAATGGAAGACCCTCCAATTGCACTGTCGTTTTCAGGTCTGTGTCTCTGTGTATAAAGTCTTGAAATTTTTTTTGAAATTTGTCAAATGATGTTTTATTGTGTGCGGGTTTGAAGAGAACAATGATTATTTGTTTCCATACATTTTATACATTACCAAGATGCGAATCACAATCTGCCGAACTCGTAAGGTTGTTTCTCGTTTTGATTATTTGTTTTTTGGGTTATAATTTTTATTGATTGATTAATAACAGATTTTGTATATATATGTATAAGCTAAATTTTTTTATTAATAGTTAGTATAGAGTATGTGTATTCAAATTGTGAGATGGGATTTTATATTTGGTTAAACATTACTGGTTAGAGTTGAATTTTCTACTTTAAAAATGCAGATTCATGATCTCAAGCATTGTCCATTTGCTGAGGTAAAAAAGTGAAGAAGAAGAAGAAGAAAGAGGGGGACTCGAATGTATATATATCAGATCAGTACATATTTGGGGCAAAATCTCTAGGGGTTTCCTTCCTTCATCTCTATGCTCCTCCTTTATTCTATTTATTATATATATACATACATGTATTTGTTTCTATTGTTTAGAAAACAAAGGATGGTGGTAGTGAGTGAGAGAGAGAGAGAGGAGAGAGAGCAGGTGGCGGTTTTGCTGGGATGATTTTTTGATAATTGGGTGGTTTTTTTTTTTTGATTAAATTAGTTATAAAAAAAAATAAATTAAATTAAAAATTAATAAAATAAAATATAATATTTAAATCATAATCTTTTTTTCTCATAAAAATTTAAAAAAATAACTCAAACAAATTTTTTAATCTATACTAAAATAACCAAAAAAATCAAAAAACTTTAAAATCAATTTAACTTTCCAAACGAAGCAAGGGGTTTGGTGAGATTAGCTGTCGGGTTGATGACGGACGGCGAACCGGCAATACCTAGTGTTGACATGTGTTTTTGTGGGAAAGTAAAAAGAAATACACTCACACATACTTATATTCTAATCTCAAGATTATTTACATCGTGCCTTCAGGTACGGGCATACGCTAGTATTATATATTATATAATAGGTATTATATAATATATTATATATATATATGAATCAAGCAGATAAAGAGAGAGAGATAGAAGCGAGAGAGAGAGCGATCGTGAGCGAGATAGAAGCGAGAGAGAAGATGAGGAGGGTTTTTTTCGACTAGAGAGAGAAAAGGAAGAGTCGTACCAGAGGAGATGAGAACATGAGTCAAGCCTTCGTCATTGCCTTCTTCTCGTTGTCTTCGAAGAGGAAGAGTCGTACTAGAGGAGATGAGAACAGGAGTCGAACCTTCGTCATTGTCTTCTTCTTCACTAGGGTTTTTTTTAATAATGTTTTTGCTCTTTTGACCCACGTTTTGATCATTTTATATTGTAAATGAGAATTTATTCCATGTGGGTATTCACACCAAAACTAGATGGGTTGTAGCAGTAGAAGAAAAGCAAAGCGCCAAAAGCGCACACCTCGAGCCTCAGAAAAAAGCGCAAGCCTCATTGCCTCAGCTGCGCCTCCTCTATGTCGCCTCGCCTCGCCTCGCCTTGAGCTTAGGCGTGCGCTTAGGCGCGCTTTTCAAAACACTAGTAGGGACAATCAGTGTAATTTGCATTTTTCTTTTACCTTTCCAGTTACTGCAAGAATTAAATATCTGTTCTAATACATTTGGATAATTTAAAACATTTTTTGAATCATAATCTTACTTTATTTTGTTCATTTTAGGCTGTTTTCTATCATTTTATTTTGAACCGTGAAAAGTTTTTTAATTCATTTGCACTTGATGGACTGTGCATTAGATTTCATTTATCCTGCATGTCTTAAACATATTCCATCTAATATTCTGTCTATACGTTATGGCTCGAAAATATGTTCTACCTAGTTTCGGTAATTGGGGACTTCACAATGACTGCTGGCGTGGAATCTCATAATAAGATTTGTTATCCAATTTTACCCAACCTTGGGGTTCTTGATAGTTCCTTAGAGCATGTTGGTGAGTGGGTTGCGAAACATGTTAGAGTTGAGAGGTTTAGTTTTTTATTTTTTATTGTAACCTTAATTCATTTTTTATATTAGATTTGATTTCCGTGTACTCCATGAATATAGGCAACTTCTCAAACTACGCAAGTTCTTGTGTTACTGTGTGTGTGGGGTTGTGACTCTTCTTCACTGTTTCACTATTAACAGTTTCCGGTTAGCTCATTGTTGGTTAGTATTTGAACTACTTTCAAATAGATTGTATTTCTACCTTTGTTGATGTTGAAACTTGTTAAGGGTGTTTGGGACTGTTGAGGATATAATATAAATAATAAAGTTGTCCATCTCTCTAACAGCTTAAGCTTTTAGATGATTTGTTGGTTTATTTTTCAATATGATATCAAAGCAGGCAATAAATCTTGTGTTCGAACCTCATCGCCTACTTGACAATTAAAATACTTGCACGTGTTTAGCTTGCTTATGGAGGAAAGCCCGGCCACACATGATATCCTGGTTGATCAGAGTTATATTGAGGTTCAACTGTATGGTAGATGATCTGGATTATGAATCTGTTGTACGGGATTCTGGTTAAGTTCATCTGATATCCAGTTTACCTGGTACTTGACCCATGGACTTGAATTTAGGGTTACCAGTTTCTGTCATTGATGGGTACACAGAATCTAATCCTTCTACTTAAATCCTGACTTTGTCTGACACTAACTTGCTGTTCAGGGTATCTACCTTCATTTTCTTATTATCTCGGCTCAAAACTTTTTATTTCTGGTGGATCCTTCCCGAGATATGCATGTTGCGGAAACACTAAACCTTATGTGATACTTGACTCTTCTCTTCCAGCTTGGCGGTGGTTATCTATTAGGTTTGCCTGTGGGTTTCATTGCTGATTCTATAGGTGCTACTGTAGGTGCAGCAGCTGCATTCCTTCTTGGCAGAACGGTATGCTTTTAAGAACTTTTATTGGCCATACATTTTTTTATCTACTTCTCTATGCTTTGCTCTTTTGAAGTCTTCTTTCCAAGGGGTCCTTCAAATTTCTTTATCCTTTGATGTGTGGTATGCATGTAGTCGTACTGGGTCTTTTATTAATTTCAAAAAACAAGAACAGAAAAAAAAGAGATAATTTAGTTTTTTCTTATTTTATATATTGGTTTCTATTTATATACATTCATCTGATTAAATATTTTGTACAGATTGGGAGGTCATTCGTTGTTTCCAAGTTAAATGATTATCCGCAATTTCAGGCAGTTGCAATTGCAACTCAGAAATTGGGTTTTATGGTTTGTGTGTATTGCATATGTAATCCCCAGGATCTCGGTTCTTGTCTTTGATATGTGGATTTCTAATTGGCTCCTATTATTAGTTTTTTCTTATATATTTATCAATCCATGGTTCCACAAATAGTAATTGTTATTAGGTTTTTGTGAGGGATGGCAAAATTACCCAACCCGATTGTATATAATCCAATTTTAATAAAAGAGGTCTGGGAGAGTATTGATAGGGTAGGGTAAAGTGTGAAATTGTATCACTAAAATAGTTGAGATTAAAGTAAGAAATAGTGCGAAACCCATCCCCTTGAGAAAGAAGAAGAAGAGTTTTCCAGTTGCTTTCACTACAATGCATCTTTAGGCAACGCCAGCTGCATAATCGACGAGCAATTTTGTATGTTTAACTTGAGAGGGTTGTCATTGTAACATACCTTAGTTCCTGATGATTCTTGTCTCATTGATAGATTCTCTTTCTACTTCGGCTTGTTCCTATAATTCCATTTAATATGTTGAATTACGCATTGTCCGTGACTCCAATTCCACTGGGAAAGTACATGTTGGCTTCGTGGCTGGGCAAGATGGTATATACACACATCTTCCTTGAACTACTATTATTTAGTGATTTTATGCCAATGACGGCTTGAAATGTTATTTACACTTTTTTATCATCATATTTTTTCTTGAGAAATCAGAACTATTTCTTATATCTCTGGTTTATTTATCTATTTGTTATTGTTGTTATTATTTTAATTGTTCTCTAATTTGGTTGATTTGTTTGGGTACAGTCGGTTACTCTTGCATTGGTATACATTGGAACACCTCTGAAGGATCTTTCTGATGTAACGCATGGATGGCATGATTTTTCGAAAGCTCATTGGGTAAGAGCTATGTCACCTGTTTTTCCTGTTCAGGAAACTAATTCTATTCTTACATTATTCTACTATTCTGACTGGGGTTAAGCTTAGAATTTGTTTATTTTAAAATGGATGAGACATGGGACACAAATCTTGAAATCAAATCCTGAGGACGCTCGATTTTGCTTCGAGGCTCAATTTACTTTTGGAAAAAATTATACTAGGGGTCCCTGCATTTTGTCCCATGTGTCATTTTGATCCCTACATTTTCAATTGACTCAATTTTGACCCTTGATTTTAGATTTTGTGTCAATTTGGTTCAATTGATAATCCCATTAGTATTTTTGAAGGAAAATAATCTCTGAATTGGTTGAAGTTAACTCACTGAGTTGAGTAAATTTATAATTTTACTGTTAAAAATATGACATATGCCACTTATATGTGTATTTTTCATAAAAAATGCTAAAAGTTGTAATCAATTGAACCAAATTGAAACAAAGTCATAAATTTAAGGTCATCCAATCAATTGATATTATAGGGACCAAAATGATTAAAAGATTAAAGTACAAAGACTACCGTCATAATTTTTCCTTTACTTTTTTAAGAGTCTCATTGTGAATTTTAACATTGCTCATTTGTTGTGCAATGCAGGCATTAATTATAGCGGGTCTTGTGGTGTCCGGTGAGTTGTAATTTACGGAATAATCATATTATCATATATTATGTGTATATACATATATGTTGCATATTTTTATACATATATGAAGTAAAAAATTCAATGAGTAAGAACGGCTCTAGTGTGATGTCTTGTATGATTCTCTTCTTTTCTACTATATATATTCTGGAACTACATTGATTAACATTTATTTATATTTTTCATTTAATTGTAGAGTAGAAATTGTGATAGAACATCATTCTTCTAGATTCAAGAAGACCGAGAAAAAAAAGAATAAAAAAAAGAACAAACGATAAAGAGGGAAAAAATAAATACACTTATCCCGGAAATTCACTTAAGAAGGGTACAAGTAGAATATGTCAAGCTCGTTTTTCTTGAACAAGATAACCACGACCTAACAAGGTTGCATCAATATTGACTAACATAGACTTACTTGACATTTTGTAAATATATTCTTTGTCAATCAAAAATTTGTAAATTCATTAATATAATTGAATTCTGTGTGATTAGCATGTTTTGACTTCTATTATCTGAAATTCACTGTTTTTTATTTTGAACTTTTTTTTTCCCGACAGTTGTGGTATTAATTTGTGTTACTAAGGTTTCAAGGATGCTTTGGAAAAAGCATTGGCTGAAAAAGATGATATAGATAGCATTGTAGCCTCACCGGAGCAACCCATTGTGGCTGATCCAACAGCAGATCTCCACCAGCCGCATAACGATAGATCACGACAATCATGAAAATTAAATTTATGTTATTTTGTAAATTCTTCACCATCTTAGGAATCTACACTCTCTTTGTTAGCACATAGATCTAGTGACTCTTGCTGTTCTCAATTGTACAGTCACATTACTTTTTGGACAGCAATGACTTAGCTTATAA